CCCCCCGCGTGCTGATCCCCGATCCCCGTAGGCTGAGTCTGGTCGATTGGATTCTGGGTTAAAGTCTGAAGTTCTGAAGGGGCCTCTTAGGTTGCCTGAGTGTGTCTTTTCCAACCTTTCAGCCCAAGATGACAGCATACTGAAGTGAAGCTCCCCAGCCTGCCTCTCCCCAGCCCAGCAGATGAATAAAGCTTCCTCCTGCGTGATGTTTGGCTCCCTCTCATTACTGCTTCTCCAGTGGTTGGGTTCCTGGACTCTGCTCAGCAATTGTGCTGTCTTTTCCTCAGGGTGGGGCCTCTTAGAGGGATTTTAAAGGGATAACGAGCATCACTCATTACTGACCCAGAACACAGCTCGCAAACAGCAACAAGTATAGAAATGGATACCTATTTTCTGGGGTGTTGAGGGGGACCTTTGAGTAGTCAGTTCTAATGGAACAGTCCCTAGAACTGCTCCGTGCTCTACCCTGCTTCTGCCAGCAGCCCAGGCTCCTGGATAGGCAAAAGAGGGATTGGAAGGTGGGTGGGGGTGCTGATGCAATTTTAAGTTGGAAGCTGGGTCTTCTGTCCTCAACTCACAATCCTTTCCTGCATTTCAAGGTGGCCAGGGCAACCTTGAGACAGAAACCCAGGGAGATGGTCTCTTAAAGGTGAGCCCTAACCTCCCCAGACTGGACTCCTGGCCACTGAGGCTGTGAGTTGGAGTTGGATGGGTGGGGTATTGCTGCTTCCCAGCTGTGTGCCAGGAGCCAATCCCTTAGGCGGAAAGCCTCAGTTTTTGTAAAGTGAATATATTTGTAAACATATGGAAATGGCTTACAAATGTTTCAAAAGCCTATATTTGTTTTTTGTGGGTGAACGAGCATTCCCACCCCCCAACCTTGAGCAGTGGTGTCCCAGCACCTGGGTCTTCAATGGTTGCTGTCCCAGGCTCCTGTCTGAGGCTGTCACCAGGTGTCACTGAGGTGAGATGAAAACCGGCTCCCTGCTGCAAGTAGGCAGATGGTCCCAAGGAGTGACCCTATCCTGCAGAGTACTGTCCAGTGGGGAACACACATGATGCTCCCTGAGTTAGTAACCCTTGTTTTCTGCCAGATGATACTCACTTCAAAATCAAGGCCCACTGGACTTTCTGCCTTTGCCGGTCCCCTAGTCCACCAATATTAAGTCATGAGAGGCAACAGTTCCTCCTTAAGACTCCCTGGTGCAGGGTCTGGGCCAGTAGAAGCTTGGCCTCAAGTCTAGCCTCCAGTGTTCATTACAGACCACTGCCATCTGACTGCGCTCTAGTCCTGGCCTTGAGCTTGCTGGCAGAGCTTTCAAGCACTCTGTGTCCTCCACAGTAACTACTGTGTAGAAATGGACAATTTGATCTGTGCTTTATTCTGAATTCTTGGGCATGTTCTTCCTGAAGCAGGTGAGACAGGGTTGCTACATTCCTGTATACACACATCCATGCAGTTCTGAATGTCCCCACTCAGCAATTTCAGACAGTTCACAGTCCCCTTTCAAAGATCTCTGTGGGAACTATTCAAAAAAGAGTGATGTAGGCTATACTCTTTAATAAATTATTGAGAGTTTGCTTAAGTTTATTAAAAAAACCTTATAAAAATTCAAAATATTTCATACTGTCTTCAGTCATTTTCTTGGCTTCCTAACTTTTTACTCCAAAGTGCAGGAGGCAGAGCCCATGTTCCAGAGGTGAGGGCCTGGAGGAAGCTAGCAGTCCCCTAGACCAGGGCTTACAGGATACAGCAGGTGGAAGACTTGGGTGCTGGGTCACCATTGCAGATTTCTGTGCCCACTGTGAGAGAAAACAGGGTGAGTGGGGAGCCTTCGCCCTCCTGCTTTGTGTGCCCTCTCCCCTTCAGGGAAGGGTGGAGTGCAGGTTTGGCCAGCCCAAGCAGGTTAAGTGGAGCTGAGCTGTTCCTAGTGCTTCACCTCTCTTGACACCACACCAAGATTGCTCTCAGTCCTGGCCTCCCACAACCCTATGGCTGCCTTCTTCATGCTGGTTTACCCCATGGCACAGCATGCAGGGAGTAACAAGGCCCAGACTAGGGAAGCCAGACAATGCATGGAGGCTCTGGTCTGGGTATGCTGACTTGTCACCGAGTCAGGCCCTGTGACAGGACGGGGCACTGCAGGACTAACTCCTGCGCAGCTCACTAGTTTTCAGTTTTGCTGTTTGGTTTCTGAGGGTGGCGTGGACATGTGGGTGCAATTTACAAGCTACTTAGGATTCGACTCCTTGGTGGTGGACGGGAGCTGCTGAGAGTTAGGTTAGCCTGCTTCCCTTTACAAGGGCAGCAGTGCAGTTACTTGGAGAGACTTGAGCTCAGCCAGGAGCAGTGAGACCCTCCTGGCTCTGTCACTGCACAGGTGACCTCCCTCCTGTGGACGGCATCCCCCGTGGGGCCGCTGGGCATGCACCCTTCGTTTTCCTAAGTCTAACTGCTGTGAGGCTCTGCCACTCACAGCTTTGTCGGGGGTAAGCCGAGTCCCTGCCCCAGGCTGGCCAGGGCCCAGACCTTTCTTGGCCGCCACACTCTCTTCTTCCTCCTTCTTCTCTTCCAGGGCCTTCATTTTGGCCTCGTGCTCGTCAGCAAGTGCTTTCCACTCCTTCCTGTTGTTCTGTAGTCGGTCAAACATGGGCAGGATCTCTTCATGGAAACGGGAGAACTCCTAGAGGAAACAGAAGCCACATGTGTGTCCCCTCTGCTCCTGGAGGGCTAGGGTGGTGGTCTCCCTGCCCAGCCCTTGTGGATGGAGTTGAGGAAGGCAGAGGGAGTCGCCCTTGCTGGACTGTGACCTTTGGCCACTTTAAAAGGACATGTCCATGTTGACCCTGCTTGAGTAGCTGATCAGGGCCACTTCACCTAAAGCCAAATAGCACCGTTCTTAGAGAGGGGGGTGGGGCATTGCCTGGTCAGGGGGTCAGTCAGACCCCCACCAGGTCAGTGTCTTCCCAGTCCCTCCCTGTGTCCTCAGAGGCCCAAACAATAGAACTCAGGCCCAGCAGGGCATTGGGTCCCTGGCCACTGGGCAGGAACATGGCTGCATTCCCATGTTCTGTAGGTCATGTGGGCAGGGCACACTAGCAGGGATGGGCAGACCCAGGCCCACTCCTGAGGGCTTACAGACACCCACAAAGGAACCCACAGGCAAGTAGCAGTCATTACCCTGAAGACAGGTGCCCACCATTGTGCAGGGTCCCACAGAGGCAAGGACCTGAGGAGAGACCTCGTGGGGTGGGTTGGGGGGACATTCTTGGTGCTTCTAACGATGGTTGGTGGCAGGTCTCATCCCCAGTGCAGGCATGAGTACACGCCATGGCTGAGCAGGTGGGAGTGAGGCTGGGAGAGAGGTGCCCCCATGGGTTGCAGTCCGCACAAGCATTCCTCTTGCTGTGAGGTCACTGCTAGTCCCACCCACGCCCCCTGTGGGCTCCTGGCTGCTCTGTCAGTCAACACCTATGGTCCGGGGATTCCTACCTTGTACACAAATGTGCACACGAAGTCAATGAAGCCAACCTGCAGCTTGGGGAGCTCATCCGCCTTATTCCTGTCCATCATGGGCTTGTGGAGGAAGCAAAGACAGCTTACCCAGGGCCGTCTCCTCAGGCCCTTCAGGCCCCAGCTGGCACCCACCCCTACACTCTAGTGAACACATTCATGAGAGAGAATGAGCAGAGCCCAGGGGCAAAGGTGCAGCCCATAGGGGGCCAAGCTCAGCTACCAGAGCTGGCCTGGAAGCAGAGAGTCAAGATGCCCCTCGTCAGCTGCCCAGGCTGCCCCTTCCTACTTCTGAGCCTCTGACCCTCATGTGGGATACTGCTGGTTCATCTAAAGGTCTTCTGTCCACAGGGCACCATCCCCAGTGTTGCCCTTATGCCCCAGCTGCTGGCCTGTCACTAAGCTGACCAGAACCCAGATGTGCTGTGGAGCCTGTACTTGGCATGCAGCCTGCTTCAGACAGCCATTTGCGCTGGTTGAATCTGGCTTTGGGATCAGACTTCCCATCTTGTGCCATGGGGCTGAGCAGGGTGGCCAGGAGCCATCCTGTGCTAGCAGTATGTCCTGACCGCACTGCACGTACCTTTCTTGCACGGATGCTGGTCTAGCCCTGGACTCTCACCCCGGCTTTCCCTGCCCTACACTGTCCCCGGGGCCATCCTGCCTGGCCGGGGAACATCTGGGAGCTGCCTGTACTTGCAGTGGCTTCTGGTCCTGATACCACCTCCATGCCCTGCACTCCACCTCACCAGAGGTGAAGCCATCCATTCTCATGTGGCACAACCACACACAGGAGGCAAAGACCTCAGAGTCCCTGTTCCCCAGCACCACAGTGGGGTCTTGTCCCCTCATCAGGGCAGAAGCTTCTGGAAGCAACACTTACGATGGGCTGCTGATCCAAAACTGTCCTTTCCAAGTCACCTTGTTCCCAGAACTCAGCGGCCACCAGAAGAGCAACCTGGTGGCACACAAAGGCAGCGCAGTTGGTTTTGTGCTCTCGGGCCCTGCCCTAAGGCTGCACCCCAGCCTGGGCCCTCACAAAGGTGGCATGGTGCAGTTTCACCTGGAGCCCTCAGGCTCTGCTGGTTGAGGCACTAGGCACCCCCACTGCTGCACCCTGGCAGGCCCATGGCCGCCTTCAGCATGACTGTAAGCCGCATTCTCCCCCCTCTGAGGCTCCCCAGATGCAGACCCAGGGGCCCTGGAAGGGTGAGTTTGGGTCTGGCCAGCCAGGCCTGACCTTGCTCTGGACTTCCCAGGGCTTGGTGATGGCAGACAGGTCACAGGCAGTCATCATCATGGCCCTGCCGGCAGACAGAGCAGAGTCATGAGTTCTTGCTGGTGTCCTGGGCTCCTGAGACGGCCTGGGGAAGGCGCTAGTCCTGGGGCACCGGATCGAAGATGAAGGAAGGGAAGCTGAGAGTGAAGTGAGGATTGCTAAAGACCAGAAACCAAGGACATCCCATTTGACCCTAGATCCTGCACTGGCTCCTCCAAACCCAGCAGTGCTGTCCCTGAGGGTCCTCTCCCAGGTCTGCAGGAGGGAGTGCGCTCACATGACTATCTCCTTCCGCGTCGTCTCCAGGGACAGGTACTCCACCCAGCTCTTCTTGTCTGTGTAGTTCTTGGACTCATCTACAATCTTCTGGAACATTGTCCTCTTCCTGGACACAGGAAGGAGGGAGGGCAAATGGTGGCAAGTCCCACACCAACATGCCCCCGCTCCCGCCCCTGCCATCCCGGGGTGGGGTGTGCACTTGAAGTAGAGGGCCAGGTCCGTGGCGATAATGGCGATGTCCATGAGGTGGATCACGTGCTCATGCTGCCGCCGGTTCAGGTTCTGGTAGATGTTCAGGCTCTGCGAGTGTCAGTTGGTGCAGGGTCGCTGTCAGGCTTGCACAGGGTCCTTGGCTGCAGCTCTCAGGCTGGGCACCTCCTCTGCCTCAGGCTCCTGTGTACTTTGCCAGGCTTATGCCTGCTCCTGCTCCTTGGGAGGGCAGCCCCCTTCCCTCCCAGCTTTCTACCCTCCCTGTGGACACAGGGAGAAGCTCTGAGGCAGCTTCTGCTGTGGCTATAGGCTCTGGATCTAGAAGGCCTTGCACTTCACTTCACAGGGAGAGTCCTGGGCTCGTTGCCCTAGTACCCCAAAGCCCCAGGCCTGGTCCACTGGACACCAGCTGTGAACCTGTCCTGGCTCCTCACATAGCTACAGGTCTCTTGCAGCCAAACCCACCCTGACCCACCCAAGCCCTGTGGGTCCCAGGAGCCAGTGAGGGGCCAACCTCCTCTGCCAGCAGGAACTTCCCAAACTCCAGGTGGTGCCGCTCCAAGATGGAGGAGCCGTGAAGCTTGGCTAAGGGATTCTGGGATCTGTTACAGAGTGTATTCAAAACGCAAGCAGTCAGAAGGGCAATGGGCCAAGCCAGCTGTGCAGATGACCCCAGGAGGGTGACCCACGGCTGTTCCAGGCACCTACTTCATCTGGTACAGGTTGTTGGTGCCTCTGTGGTCAATGTCATGGCACAGGCCTGCTGTGACCATGGCGAAGGCTTCCAGGTCAGTGTAGTAGCTTTTCAGCTTGCCTGTCTGTGGGGGCATGTCCATGCCTGGGTCCTGTTGCTGGCCCAGCTCGGTGCTCCAGTCAGGCCAGGGAAGGGATATCTGTGGGCTGGACCCCCTCCTGCTCCCCTGCCCAGGGGCCCTCCGCCCACAGCTCGGCTGGGTAAGCACTGACTGGAGGGTGTGGGCTGCCTCCTTCCCTTGGCCTAGGGAAGACTCCCACCCCAGGAACCAGGCAGGTGGGAATGGCTGTGGTGCCCTGCCCTCCCTGCCCTGTCCACACACCATGAGCAGTGTGAACATGGTCTGGGCCACGTTGAAGCCGTGGCGCCAATTGTGGTAGGTGATTCTCCGGTAGGCTTTGCTGACAGAGAACAGGAACCGCACCAGGACCTGGGGCAGAGGACATGCAGGTCTTTGATCAGCATTGAATCCCCAAACCTCATGTGTGAAGGCTGGTCCCCTGAGCCTCCCATCCCCCTAGTTCCCAGTGGAACTGCCTGACCTTCTTGAGTACCTGCAGGGGTGGTGGGAAGCCTGAGCTGGGTGAGAAGAGCTAAGATTGGCTGCAGCCATTAGGAGTTGGTGCCTTGGCCTATGGCCCAGCCCGAAACTGGGGAGGGGACCCTGGGGAGACCCTAAGAATCAATTTTAGGTGTGGATATTTGAATGGACCAGTTATGTGGTCTGTGGAAAGAAGGGTAGGGACACTGCAGGCAGTTATCATTGGGGCTCAGAGGAGCCTCTTGCTTCCCTTGTGATATTTAGGGTCAGAAAATTATTTGGGAATATTTTTATTCTGTTCGTATTTTCTATAAATTCTTCTTTTGTGTTTTCCCTTAGTATTTACTAAAGCTTTTTCCAAAAAAAGACAGCCTGTGGCTTCTGTTCTCTGAGGAGCATGAGGAAAGGTGATCGACTCCCTCATCTGGGCTGTGGGAAGCAGGTGTGGAGCTGGATGCAAGACAGAGCAAGAAAACTGCAGGTGGAGGAGAATCGTGGCCCAGAGCTGAGAGAGCCACCCCTTCCCCCCAGGGCCCGCCTGTGGCCAAACCCAAGGGACACTAGGTACTTTCTTCTTGGGTGAGGAGCTGCTTCCATTCTGCACCCCACGCCAACTCACTATTGCTCAGGGATGCACCCAATGAAAAGGTTGCCTGGACTCTTACTAGTCAAACTTTCTGTCCATCCTCCCATCATCCATCTGTCCACCTGCCCACCCACCAACCATTCATCTACCAACCATACCCTCATTACTCATTGTGCGTTCACCCACCTACCCACTGGCCCTTCCATTGTCCATACTCCATCCACCCACTCACCTACTTTTCCACTGGTCTGTCCATCACCCACCCCACCCCCCACATTCATTCATCCATCTGCCTATCCATTCATCTGTCCATCTATCTACCCAGTTTTCCATCCACCCTTCCATCCAGGCAGCCTCATCCACACATTCTCCATCTGTATACATCCATTCTCCATCTATCTATCTACCTATCCATTCATCTATTCTAGGCATACTTTGTGGTTTTACAAGATAATGTCCCCCAAACTTCCTGGGACACTGATTACCACATTCTACTCACCTCCTGGAAGATCTGGGAGCCCCAACCACACCCCCCACCTCCTGGAGATCAGGGATCCTCAACCATGCCCTCCCACCTCCCAGGGGATTAGGGACCCTCGACCATGTCCACACCTCCTGGGGGATCTGGAACTTGCGGACCACGCCCAGCTCATAGTACATCTGGATGCCACACTTGACCAGCTCCAGCTCAGTGCACTCCAGGTCAGAGAAGTGGAACTCATAGATGTCAAACTTGGTGGGCCCTGGCAGCTCTTCCTTCTGCAGGGGGGTTGTGAGCTGAGGGAGGCAGGCCCACCAGCCCTACTTGCTCCCCATCCTTCCTCCTCTCAGAACCCTCTCTCCAGCTAGATGCCCTGGGCATCTCTAGTGTGATCTTCAGCCTGTGGCCTGGGATGCTCACATCCCCCTTACTCAGCCTGTCCTCCCTCTCCTCCCACCCAGCTGAGCAGACATGATGATGTCGGGGAGGCAAACTAGCAAACACAGAGATGTGTGCAGGAAAAGATAAGCACACATGGACAGAGGCAGGTAGGCATAGGCACATATATGCAGACTCATGGCAGACACTTTCACACAAGCACAGGTGACACAGACACTGGGGACAGTCATAACTTGTCAAGAATGATCACATGCTCCAAGACCACACAGTGGTAAATCACACAGATGACAGAGCTGGAGGTGTCACACGACTGCCAGGGTGATCTGTGATGTTCTCTGGGAGACACACAATCATGTGTCTGTGTGTGTTGTGTGTGTTGGCCCTCCTCTAGGGGCAGCACAGATGGACTCTTGGTCCAAGTCATGCCTGCAGAGACTAAAGTGTGGACAGTTCTGGAAGCACAGAGGAGACAGGCAGGCATACAGATGCACTTGGCAGTGCAGATGTCAGGTCAGCCCCAGCTGGACATGAGCTCAACACACTGGCCAAGAAAGATTCAGAGCCAGGATCCTGTAGACAGATGTCTACTGAGGAGTGCAGACACACCCGACCACAGGCCCATGTAGATGGCAGCCGACATCCTGAGATGGCATCCTGTCCCAGGGGAACTCCTCTGCTGGCAGGAGCTACCAGCACCCACTGAGGAGCAGAGGCAGGTCCTCACCAAGATTTTCCCCAGCTCATCCTCCTCACAGTCAGCAGGCTCCTTCCCCAGGCGTTCCCTCGTTGGCTAAAGGGAGCAACAGGCAGGTCATGGGAGAGAGAGATGGCACTGCTCTCACCCCTTGAGTGAGAGAGTGACCACATCACCTTCACATGTGAGCACACTGGACAAAGGGACCTCTGAATACTGATGGGCAACCATCTCCTTGTGCCAGGGTACCCTCGATTCCAGACAGATAGGCACCCCCATGGGAGGGAGCAGGTGCTTGAGAGCCCCAGTGTGTGTGACTGTGTACGTGTGCACGATTGTGTGTGTGCACGTGTGCACCACTCACTCTCCTGCCTCTTGGCACTGATCTCAGCACTCTGCATGGATGACAGATGGAGCCTTGTGTGATAGGCAGGAGGGCATTTGGCATACCCATCCGCAGCTGAGCCCGTGGCATTGGGCAGATCCTAGGGCTGGGCAGGCAGTGTGTGGGTGCCAGGGCAGGTCCCAGGGCAGGTGCCAGGGCAAGTCCTGGGGGAGGTCCCTGGACAGGATGGACAGTGTGTGGGTGCTGGTGCAAGTCCTGGGGCAGGTGCTGGGCTGGGCGGGCAGTGTGTGGGTGCCAGGGCAGGTCCCAGGGCAGGTGCCAGGCCAGTGCGTGGGGTCGGTATGTGTCCCCCGCTGGGCTGCCTGCCTCCCTGTGCAAAGGCACTGTGAAATGCAAGTTGCATACCAGTATCATCTGGATCTCATCCTTGTCACATCTCACGTGGTATAGAACCATGTCCTGGGCGATGTCTCTGCGGTTCTCCAGCTTGTTCACCTTGTCGTAGGTGTCTGTGTTCAGCACCGACCAGCCCAGGAACTGAGTGAGCGACTGGAGACAGAAGAGCAGTGTCACCCACCTCTCCGAGCGCCCTGAGGAGCCCTGCTGACCATTCAGTGGGCACCTGCCGCACAGCTATCGCCTTCCAGTGGGGCCTTCAGGGACAAGGCCTTGCAATCTTCCCTTATCCGCACTCTCCCTGCCCTAGTGCTGGGGAGAGGCCGAATGCAGGGAGGCACCCCACTTGCGGGCATGTCATACATCACTCAGGGCCCCCTCTGCTGGTTTACCTCCATGAGAACTTCATCCTGCTCGTCAAAGGGCTTCCCGTCTTTTCTGTTGTAGAAGGTCGCCACCCCCACAATCTCCTCCTTCTTGTTGACGATGGGCATGGAGAGCACATTCTTGATGACCCACCCAGAGTCATCCAAGGGCCCCTCCTGTAGGGGCATGAAGAGCTGAGGGTGGCCTTGGGTCTGGCCAGGGCCAGGCGTGTTGCCCAGGGAGAGAGGCTTATTTGTGCCGCCCTCAGGCCTGGAGCCAGGCTCCTTGCTGACTCTTCACCCCCCACCTTGTCTGAGGACTTGGTGTCTATGGTCTTTGTGTTATGATTTTTCCAACTAGAGGAGGGTATTTTCCCATGAGAGCTGGCTTCATGGGCATGTGAGGGTGGTAATCCCACAGAAGCCCCTCTCAGAAGGCCCCAGGCTGCCCTGCTGTCGATGTTGTCCACAACTGCTGGACATGGGCCTCACACTTCCAGTTTGCACTGGGCCCTGAGTATCATATAACTGGTCCTGTCTGCCGTCCCAAAGACACTGGGCTGGATGGTGGAATAGGGACTGTACGCTGGTTCTTACAGGAGGCGTTGAGAGACAAAGCATGCTCCCGTCAGTCCATGGGACCTCCCCAGAAAGAGCCTGCCCTGCCCGTGGTCCCCAGATGAAGACATAGAGAGCAGAGAAGTGCTTGCTGGGGCTCAGCCTGGCCTAGCTGAACCCACATAGCCCATCCAGTGAGCCCAGACAGGATCACATGGCCCCACGTGAGCACAGGCAGGATCAGCTGAGCCCAGGCAGGATTGGCTGAGCCCTGCAGAGCCTAGACAAGACCAACAGAGCCTCAGCAGAGCCCAGCCCACCTGCAGATCTGAGAGCACAAATACATGCTTCTCATCAGCCACTAGGACTGAAGCAGTTTTGTAAACAGCAAGAACTAAGTCAGCCTATCATTTCTGAACTAAAATGTTTTCTTTCCTAAGTGAAACACACACTTTCCATCAATGACTAGACAGATACCTGAAACTTGAACATTTCATCAGTGGAGGTGTTCATGATGTTACAGATCTGGAAAAGGATCAGAATTGGTGTCACTTGGAGCAGATGCATGCACACTGATTCTGACAGCACTCACCAGCGCAGCCTTGCTTGAGAGAGGTGAACTTCTTAACTCAGCAAAGCAAAAGGGTGGCAGGAGGGACAGGGGTGGGGGAGGCAGGGTGTGCAAGCATCAAGCACCAGCAGGCACAGGTCTGGGTCCAGGGTTACGGCACTCACAAAGCCACTTTCTGCCACATAGGTTGGAAGGCCGCTGGCCAGGGCCCAGTGATCATCTGGGGGTGTGCTGGGGGAGGGAAGCAAAGGGATCAGATGGATAGACACTTGAGTTTTTGGTTGTGAAGGCAAGTGACTGTTCACATCATGCCCTTCTCTGAGCTCAGGTGGAGGTGGGGATGGGGCTGGGAACCTGGTGAGTACTGGAGGAGGCCAGAGGATGAGGCTCGTGTCACTCTGTCATGCTGGGGACTCTCACTCTGCAAGGACTGCTCCTCGTGCAGAGGAGCTATGCATAGCTCTCAAGCTGTGGCTTCAGTCGACCTCCTGGGACTCAGTGTCAGCCACCTGTCCTGCAGTCCTGGCCAAAATTACTTGGGCCTGGTACCCAGATCCTTGTGCCTGTTTGGAGCCTGGGGTGGGGTCTTGTCAGGCCTATGAGTCATAGGGTCACTGACCACACAGTGTAGGAGTGAAGAGGGCACCTCCTCCCCAGTCCCTCTAGCCTGAGCTCTGTACTGAACTTCTTGAGGGTGAGAGGCCAACCTTACCTCTGGGGCTGAGACCGCTGGGCTGGCCAACCAAGAGACCCTTCACACTGACCTCTAAGCCACCTACACAGCTTACCTGATCCCACTGAATGTCCACTCTGCATGTCCAAGTGCTCAGGCTGGCCACTCCCTCCTCACCTCCCAGGTCCCTCCACGCTGGCTCTGAACAGGGAGACAGCTGCCCTGCCCAAGTTTCAGGGCCACAGGCCAGGTGGGAACTCATTGCTCCAAAGGCTAGGCCTGGTCTGGGGGCCCCACTGATGCTGATGCTGCAAGAACCCGGCACTTACGGAATGACCTTGATGTCCTCCTTGCCGTGGAGGATGTAGTCGATGACTTTGTAGAAGACGATTTCCTGAGAACCAGAACACAACAGGGTGGAGTCTTGGCCCAGCTCCTTGAGAGGGGAGGGAGCCAACACCCTTCCCAGACAGGCATGTGCACAGCACACACAGTGACAGGTACACACGTCCACAGACACATGCCCCAAGCAAGTGTTTCACACTCACTTTCACATGCCCGCACCCGGCTGGACCCTGAACACCACTTGGCCACATGTGTGCCTGTGTCTTATGAGGGGACATGCTGGTGAAGCCACCCCACCCTGGGGCAGGCAGGCTGCAGTGGGGAGAAGGCAGACAGGCAGGCGGGTAGGAGTCCCCTGCCTCACTTCCCTCTGGAGTTGGAGCCAGGGAATCTAAGCTATGAGCTGGGTGTGGCCCTGCCACCACCACTCACCCGGCCATCGGGTGTGCGTGGGCCTGAGTATGGCTGGGCTTCTCCCATCAGCACAGGCCACACATCAAAAAATTCCTGGGCAGAGGAGAAGAGAGGAGAGAGTCATCCTGGAGCTGGGTCAGGCTGGGCAGGAGGGCTCCCGAGAGCACCAGACCTCACCTTCTCCTTGGTCATGTCCAGGAGGCCCACAGAGTACCGGTCACAGTTGAGATAAGCCCGCACTGTGTAGAAGGCCTTGTGGAACTGCCTCTCGATGTCTGTCAGCTCCTCAAACACCTTGTTGGCTGACCAGAGCAGCACCTGGAAGGGGTGGCACACCTATGGACCTGCAGACCCCAGCTGTCTGGCCATGGCAGACTGGGGTCGACTCATACCTGGTACACAGAAGCACACAGACATCTGACCACAGAGCCTGGGAGGACACTGATCCCTGTATGCAACCCAGGGTTTCATCTGAGCATAGGACTCTGTTTCCTGACCCAGAGGCACCCAGGGATCCACAGGGTGACAAGGTCTCTGGGTTTTGGTCATGCCATGCACTGCCCAGCATTGGCCCCACATTTGGTTAATGGGTGAAACTTCAGAGGCAGGAGGGAGTGAAATTTGAAATTAATTGCTCTGGGCTTGCAAGGCAAAAATCTGACGGCTGTGCCTCCCGCTGCCTACTCTGCAGTTGGCCTTGGGGAGGCTGGGGTTTGAAGATGTAAAGTCACTGGTCAAGAGCCTGTGTCTCAGCACAGGGGAGATGGGTTGCTGATATGTTCCCTCTGAGCATGATTGCTTGGCCTCTGGCTCCCTTCCTCAGCCTAGCCTGCATGGTTCAGAGATGTGGGTGAAGCCTGGCTCCCACCTCCTTCACGCTACGCATCTCAGCCTCCTTATTATCTGTGAAGGTGCCTGGGTGTCTCCTCTCCCCAGCGCTCAGCCTTTGCTACACGGGCTCCGCTGTGTCCAGGGATGCCCGTGCCTCCCACACTCAGCCCCCTGCACCAGGACTGCTAGTCAACAGCCCTTGGCTCCACAGCCAGCTCTCCCGCCCTCTGAAGCTAAGTGTGACCTCCTTCCACCTGTCCCCATTACACTCAGACACAGCCACAGGAGTGAAGGAAACATGGATTCCTGCAGCACTGACAGGCAACTGAGGGATGAGTCCAACCACCCACCCTAAAGTTCACAGGGGAGAAGGACATACCACCACCCATGGGAAGACAGACATGCCAGTCCACTGTGCTGGTGGGGACACTAGGAGGAGGCGCTCTGGTTGCCTCTCACTCCCAGAGTGGTGAGGGAGACCAGTGCAAAGGGACGCTGCACCCTGGGGAGGGCACCACCCCTCTCCCCTGCCCTGGAGGCAAGGAGGTGTTCCACCTGCAGCTTCCTCCTGTCCAGGGCACCCCATGCTCAGCCATGTGCGATCCTCTCCCTCTCCTCAGGGGCTAGCCCGTCAGTGCTGCATGTCCCACCTCCTCTGGAGGGAGGTCACTCCTTCCATCAGCCCCCCTCCTCTTTCTCAAACCGTTCTTCTGTGTGCCTTCCGGGATCCCACCCAGGAGCCACATTCCCCTCACCCATGCCTCCTGCTCTTCTCATGGGGTGATGGTGCTGACCCTCTGCCTCCAGCATCTCCCAGGCTTGCTTCCTCTTGCCTCTGGCTGTGGCCAACTGGTCTGCCTCATCCATGGCTCTCTGGCCTCGGCTGCTCCAGTACCATCCCCTTGGTGCCCTGCTGCCCTGGTGCCTGCTGCAGGCACAGGCCTGATCAGTCCAGTCCTAGGGTAGTGAGTCTAGATGAAGACTTTTTCTAACAGTTGAATATGAAGCACTCTCTTGTAGCTACAGCGCCTACTGTTCTGTCGAATCTTGTTGCGGTGACAGATGTGTCAGAATGTCAGGTGCATTTTTTTTACTGTGCATCTGACCCTTCATGGATGGCTATGGGAAATGGGCTCCTGGAACCTGGCCCCACCCCCACCGCTCCACAGGGAGGGGCTTTGCTGACATGGCCCCACCCACCTTCCCCCTAGCTGGACTTGTATGTAGGGACTGCTCCCACCCCATTTGGGGCTCTGCATAGGCTCTGCCTCCATCCTCAGAGCCCTGTGCCAGGGCTTTTCATTCTGTTGTTTCAGCCTGATTTCCCCAGGGCCTCCCTGATGATCCCCTGGTGCTCCCCCACAGCGCCTGTCCCAGCATGGGGGTGCTGGACAGGAGGAAGCTGCAGGTGGAATACCTCCTTGCCCCGGGGGGCAGGGGTTAGGGCTGGTGCCCCATAGGGTGCCTCTCTGGGGTCTCCCACTAGGCCACATTTCCATGGAGTCAGGATTCGTGGTTTGTTCATGGCCAGAGCAGGCCTCACACTCAGTGCCTGGAGGCAGGTGCTGCCTGAGTGGAAGGATAATGCAGCAGCTCTAGGGCCAGCAGCCTGAGTCCAGGTGCTTGTAGCAGCAGCTCACAGGACTTAGAAGATGGGGTGGTCAGCCGCCTGCTGCCAGAGAATCTTGGCCCTGGGAAGGAGAGCCTCCAGCAGAACTCCGTCCAAGAGCTGACCCTTTCCCTGATAGCAGGGGTCAGGATGTAGTGCCGCCTCCAGCTGGCTGTGTGCCTCAGAAGGCTTCTTGGCTCTGGCTGGTCTCCTGGTGTAAAACCCACAGTGGTGATGTGCTCTCAGGATGCTGGGAGGATCTAGCCAGCCTTCCAGGTCGCCTGACTCAGGAGTCCAGTGTGGACCGAAGAGTGTGTGAGTTGCTGTGTGTCTGTCCGCTGAGCTTCCAGGCCAGGACCACACCTGCAGAGGTGTCCACAGGTGCTAGCCACAGCGTTGACTCTCCTGTTGGAGTAAGCTCCGCCTGGCTGCATGTCTGATTTTGGAGCCACTGGCTGTCAGTCCCCCAGGTGTGTTCCCACAGGGAGAGGGATAGATGGAGCTCACACTGCAGGTAAGGGCCAGACTTCTCTCCCACCCCTGTTCAGGGTCTCCTGTCACCCACACTCTCTCCTGCTCCCTGCTGCCACCAGCACCAACTTTGTTCACCAGCGTCATTTCCTACAGCCAGGGAGCAGGTGCCCAGTGAGGGAGGCCACCTGTCCAAGTGGTCTGAACCCAGGCAGCTTGCCCCCAGCCTCTGCCTCACCCTCCTTGCTTTTGTCTGACTTTCCAGGTGGTGCCTGGTGCACACGATGAGGGAGGTGCAGCTTCTCCCTTCAGAGTACAGCTGGCACATCTACACACGTTTTCCACTGCCGATGACTGACCGAGGGCACCATGAACTTCATCTTAGCCACTGCATGTGTCCAGTGCTCCAGCCATGTGCAGCACCTGGCACATCTACACACGTTTTCCACTGCCGATGACTGACCGAGGGCACCATGAACTTCATCTTAGCCACTGCATGTGTCCAGTGCTCCAGCCATGTGCAGCACCTGGCACATCTACACACGTTTTCCACTGCCGATGACTGACCGAGGGCACCATGAACTTCATCTTAGCCACCGCATGTGCAGCACCTTCTGTGAGGTCTTCCTGGGGAGCTGTCACCAGGTGGCCCCTCTCTCCCTGCTGGGGGACACTGCCTGCTAGGAGTTCAGCATCTCAGTCCTGTGTGAGTTTTGTGCTCCTCTGTGTCTGCACAGCCTTGATCCAGTCCTCTGATTCCCCACACCGGCCTCTCTGTCCTGGTGTCTCTGGGATGAGGCATGTCTTCACCCATGCTCCTTGGCTGACTGCAGGAGAGGTCTGCCTGAGCCCGGTGACAGGGACTGCCAGTCCCAGGAGGCGAGGCATTCGAGCCTCAGCTTTTTTCAAGGATGCTTTGAACCCACATTCTTATTGCTTGACTTCAAAAGGTAGGAAACTTTCCTCATTTTCTTCTTTTGTTTTATAATTTCAAGTCTGTGATCCATTTGAGTTGATTCTTGTATAAGAGCTGAGAAGACTCATTTTCATTTCTCTGCATGTGGATAGCCAGTTTTCCTGGCACCATTTATTTCCTTGTTGTATGTTCTTAGCATCCTTTTTGAAAACCAATCAATTTGGGTTTATTTCTGGACTCCTATTCCATTGGATGTGTTTATGTTGGCAGCATGCTGTTCTGATTACAATGTAATCAGCTTTTGTAAGACATTCAGAAATCTGGGAGGGTGATACCTCCACTTTTGTTCTTTCCTGTCAGGCTTGCTTTGGCTATCTGTGTCTTTTGTGGTTTCATGTGAGTGGTAGGGTTGTTTTTCTATTTCTATGGAGAATGACATTAAAATTTTGAAGTGGATTGCATTGAATCTATAGATTGCTTTGGATAACAGACATTTAAACTATGTTAATTCTTCCAACCCATGAACATGTGATGTCTTTCCATTTATTTGTGTTCAATATTTTTCATCAATGTTTTATAGTTTCCAATATGCAGATTTTTCACTTTTTTGGTTAAAATCATCCCTGAATATTTTTGGATGCTATTGGAAATGAAATTGTTTCCTTAATTTCTTTTACAGTGTACTTTTATAAGTTGATTTTGTATCCTGCAAAATTTCTGAATTTGTTTATCAGTTCTAACAGTCTACATGACATAGGTCTGTAAAGGGTTTTGTCTTTTTTTTTTTTTTGCATGTACTAAAATAGTATAGGCTACAGAATAAAAATAGAGATTTAGGACTTTACCAAATTCCAAATTAAAAAGTCCCTTTCTCAAGAGAAGATGTACAAATGGCCAACCTATATATGAGAAAATGCTCAACACCTCTAGTCAGATGCAAATTAAAACAACAATGAGATATCACCATTTGTCGAACTGGCTATTTTGAAAATATGAAAGATAAATGCTGATGAGGATTCAGGAAAAGGGAGCTGACATATTATTAATGGAAATGCAGATCAGGACAGCTGTTTAGAATTCAAGGCAGAGGTTCCTAAAACACCGAAAGGGAAGTACTATATGATCCAGCAATCCCATTTCTGGGTATTTACCCAAAAGACTTGAGTCAGTATGTTGAAGGGATGCAGCACTATTCATGGTAGCTAAGAAATGGAACCCACCTCTGTGTCACAGGTGAAACCCTGAGTGAAATGGGTTCAGGGACAGATGCTGCACCATCTTGCTCATGTGGAATCTGGGAAGGCTGAGCTCAGCCAAGTGGAGAGCTGGGTGGGTGGGGTGGGGGGAAGCAAGGCTGTAGCACAGGTTCCAGTTCCTGGGAGCAGTGGCTCAGGTGGTGCTTCTTAGAGCCGGTGGCTGATCCCTCAGTGAGTCCTGCAGGTTTCAACACAGTGAGGTGGATTCCACATGTCCTCTCCAAGAAGAAGCAGG